AATAATTGATAACCTATTCTAAAGGAAAAAAAAACAAAATGCAAAGTAAACAATTTTATTTATTGATATACATGTAACGGGTGATTTTTTAAGAGGTATAGGATTTGATTTAAAAAAAAAACACAAAAAAATTGAAAAACGATTAAATCTTTATTTGAGTCGATAGAACGGTCCATATAATTTAATGTTTAAAGATTATTTCATTTGAATGCTTCAATATTGGCTTCCAGTGCGTCAATCGTTGCTGGTTTATCCCTGTAGACATTAGCCTTAACATGGCCCCACAAGAAATAGTCCAACGGCGTTAAATCACACGATCTAGGCGGCCAAACGTCAGATAAACTGTTCACCGAACTCGCCTCTCAATAGGGCCATTGTTTCGTGTGCGGTGTGGCATGTGGCACCGTCTTGTTGAAACCACATGTCAGCCGAGTCCAGCTCTTGCATTTTGGGCAAAAAAAAGTTTGTTATCATCGCACGGTAGCGCTCGCCATTCACAGTTACGATCCGGCCATTGTCTTTTTTGAAGAAGTACGGCCCGATGATGCCACCGGCCCATAATCCACACCAAACAGTGATTTTTTCGGGATGCATTGGTAGCTCTTGCAATGCTTCTGGCTGGTCTTCACTCCAGATGCGGCAATTTTACTTGTTAACGTACCCATTCAGCCAGAAATGAGCTTCGTCGCTGAACACAATTTTTCGATAAAAATGTGGATCTTCCTCCAACTTTGCCAGCGCCTATTCACCAAATTGGAAACGTTGTTGGAGGTCGTGTGGCTTCAATTCTTATCTTATAAGGTTTTACACCCAAATCCTGTCGCAAAATTTTCCACGTAGTGGAGTAACAGAGGCCCAATTGCTGCGAACGGCGGCGAATCGACATTTCACGGTCATCACTAACACTAGCGGATACAGCCGCAATATTTTCTTCAGTCCTCACTCTACGTCTGCGCGTTGGTGGCTTAATGTCCAATAATGTAAACTGGGTTCGAAATTTAGTCACAAGCTTCCGAATAGCTTCCTCAGTAGGCCGACCAAATTGCCCATAAATTGGAAGCAGTGCTCGATGCACTCTCTTAACCGAGCATGAATTTTGATAGTAAAATTAAATAATTTGCAAGTGTTGTTCGTTCGTAAGTCGATTCTTGGTTAAATTATAGACCAATCTGAACAAGTTTGACAATGACACAAGACACGATTCACGCGTCATCTGTCAAAAACAGTGTTGCCAAAAAGATACTAGCAAAAAAATCACCCATTATAAGGGTAAGAGGTATTTAGTTTTTGGGCTTAGTAAAAAAAACGCAGATCAAATACAAGTTGTACTTTGGCTGGTGTTTGGCGCAAAAGAGCAAAGCACTCATTAGTACATATTTTTACGCGGAAACTCCACTTACAGTTACATTTAATTACGCAAGTGAATAAAAAAATGCTACATGCATATGTCATAGGAACGGAAAGACAGTGTCAAGAGTTCATTGTTGTCATATTTCATTCTTAACAGACGATGGTATTATCGTGCTGATAGTACACATTTAATTAAATTATAGTGCTAGTTATTTATGGCTCGTAACATTCTAGCAATTCCACCGTTTTAATAGAGGTACAAAAGTCGTTGGTAACTGTTTCTGAGGTTTCCATCAGCCTTTTAGCCGTTCAACAGTTCAACGTGCTGCTCACCTCCGTTCAAACTACAATGCATCCTAATCCCATAATTATTAAACAGAAAATACACTAGCGTAACCAAAATTTGTTAGCGGAATAGCAGCATGGGCGTAGCTAGCAGCACCGCCTGGGGGGTATCAAAAGAAAATTGCTCCAGATTGTAAGAGAAAAAAAATGTCTTCATGTCGTCCTATGTGGAAACATGTGACACTACCACAAGGGCGGGAGGGAAGGAGGGTTGTCAGCGCACACTACTAGTTGATTTTTGAAATCAAAAGACCCTTTGGTTAATTTTTCAAATAGACTATGATTACTGCAAAATCAACCAGCCAACAGTCTAGGACTGATCCAAGTACTGGCCCAGTGACAAAGCAAAACAGAGAGCACATTTTATAGCCGTCTACGGATAATACAATTTTAACCAATTCAAAAAGAAAAAAATTAAAGCCCATTATGTTTCTGTAGTCAAATTTTAACTTAAAACTCTTTTCTCTTATCTTCGCTGTGACATCTTTAGTCAATGAACCCCTTACTTCAACCTCTTTGATTAACAAAAACCTAAAATATTCCAAGAAAAATAATTAAATAGTAGATACTGATTTACAGTTTCCCTTTTGTCACTAGCATAATTAGACAAACAGGAAACTGGATATGTTGGGTTGCGACTGGGAAAAGGTTGTTCTTTTATTTTTTAATTGCTTAATAAAATTGCCACGAGTTTATTGATGTCAAGTCACCTAGTTGACACAAAAGAAGCCAGAGAGAATTCTCAGATGTTGAACTGTTTTATTTTCAAACCGAAAGTGTTCCCTGCCTGGGTATCTTTACAGTATTGCCGATATTTTTCCAAATAAATATCAGGCAATGTTTGAATTACACAAATCAAAACTTATTGGGCCGATTGGCAACTCTGCGTGGTCGATGAGTTCTACAGGTTATGCTTTTGCAGCTTTTGACGCCAATATTTGTGTGTAACAAGGCGGTTTAAGCGCCACCTCTGGTGCAAGAGAACAAAGAAATGAAAAACACCTAACAGCAAACGGACTCCTCAAAGTCCACTTTATCGACGGGCATAGTACAAACAGGATAAAATAGATTGCACCATCCGCCGCATAATTTTCACTTGCACTATATTTCACATATAGCCACACTGCAGGGGTGGAATCAAGGAACAAATAATAATAAAATTGAAAGTTGCGAGATTCATGTAGGTTTTTAACTTTTAATTTTAATCAAGAAGCAATATAAAATATTATTTAGAATTCAGAATTCATCAACAATACCCTAATACCCAAAACAAAAATCCACTCTCCAATAAACAATTGAAGAAACAAAGGTGTCATGTAAATTTTTTTTAAATTGTTTTTTGCATTAAACTAACCTTTCATTCTGTGATTACCTTGTTGCAAAAACAAGATAATAAACTAATTAAACTAAATATTTAAAATTTCAATACAGTAAAAAGTCCCAATAAAAAAATGTTTAAAGTCAATTTTCTCCATACAATGATTTTGTTCATTGATACCTTTATCAACTTGTGTCTTCAATTGCTTTTGGAACCAGCATCAGGCATGGGTCTCGGGGGGTACTTACCTCCTCTACCCCCTCCCGGCTTTGGCTACGCGCATTCGGCGTTGATTTTTATAACACTTTAAGGTCGGCCACTCACGTACAGTTTCAACTGACAGTTTGAACTGTTCAGTGAAAACTGTGCAGTTAAACCTCAACGTGTGTGGGTGTGTCAGTCGCAGTTTAACTCAACTGGACAGTTAAACTGAGACAAATAAATTGTCAATTGTTTTAACTGAATGGTTCAACTGATCGTTGCGTGTGTGGGGGTTCGACTGCACAGTTCTCAGTTCAAGTTGTGTCTCAGCACCGTGCGGGTGGTTTTTTGAAGATGTCGCGGAATAAGCCAAACCCAGTGATCGTAGATTTTATTGCGATATACAGATCGGAACCTTGTCTTTGGCAAGTAAAGAGCCCGGAATATCATAATCGTACGAAGAAGGATGCTGCATATGCCAAATTGGCACAAAAGTTGGTGGAAGTTGAACCTGGTGCTGACAAGAAGTCTGTGATCAATAAAATTAACAGTTTGAGAACTGCTTTTCGGAAGGAGAAAAAGAAAGTTGATGCATCATACAAGTCTGGAACATCAACGGATAGCATTTACAAGCCGGTACTTTGGTATTATGACATGTTTGATTTTTTGCAAGATCAAGAGATTTCAAGGACCTCAATTTCAAATTTGGATGGTGAAAGTGGCGAGGTAAGAAAAACACGATATTATGAATACATGGAAAAACAAATTTTCTATTTATTTTTGTAAACATCAAATAATGTCTTTATTTGTTTTTTAAAATGTGATTCTTCTGCCATGGGACTTCGCCATCATTCATGAAGTAGTCCATAAAGCGTTGTCTGATTTCTTTTGCGTCATTGCCAATATTTCCTCGATTTTGACGATTTAGTGGAATCATATTTGATTGTGAACTATCGCACCCAATAGAAATAAGAGATCCATCGTTACTATTTTCTTGATACCTTAAGTTTGCAGGAGCGTATGTACTAGATTGATGTTCAATCAAAAAGTTATGTAAAGCACAAGCAGCCATTACAATTTTTTCTATATTTTCTGGTTCTAAATTAATTGGAGACTGAAAGATACGAAATCGTGAAGCAAGTATACCAAAAACGTTTTCGACAATATGTCTTGCTCGTGATAATCGATAGTTAAAAACCTCTTTGTCTGCTGAATCTAATAGTCCCTGCCTGAATGGTTTCAAAATATCAGTTCTGAGAGGAAACGCATCATCCGCAACGAATACATACGGAACGTTTTGGAAATTGTCACAAATATCATCAGGTTGGGGAATATTTAAATCCTCGTTCACCAGCTTCTCAAAGAAAGTTGTATTCTGAAGAACACCGCCATCGGAAATCCGCCCATTTGTTCCAAAATCTGCTAGTAGGAATCGGTATTTTGCGTCAACTATAGCCAGAAGAACCATACTGTGTTTGCCTTTGTAATTATAATAATACGATCCAGAGTTTTGTGGCGGAATTATATCAATATGCTTCCCATCTAAGGCACCGATGCAGTGTGGGAAATGCCATCTTTCCTCAAACGAAGCTGCAATCTCCTTCCATTTTTCTCCTGAGTTGGGAAACTGAAACAGGCAACAATAGCTAAATATGTTATGTTAAAGTAAATTAGATGTTTTATTTTTTTTTGTCAATCCTAGTACACAGTTGCTTCTATTTTTCAGGAATCCGTTGACAATGCACTCCCAACTGAAGAAACAGGAGAGGCTGATGATGTTGTAGAAATGAGAACTGCGGTTGTGGAAGAAGTGTCAAGAAAATCTCAACAGCCAATAACCTCAAGACCTGGTTGTAATAAAAAACAAAAGAAAAATGAGGATCTCACAACAGAAACCTTGATGACAGTGCGTGACCATTTCAAAACACCCAAGGAACAACTTGACCGCTTTGATCTGTTGGGAAAAACTATTGCTGTAAAGTTGAGAGGTTTGGAAAAACGCCAGGCTCTCATTGCGGAGAAAAAGATAGGTGACATATTATTCGAGGCGGAAATGGGTTCTCTAAACACAGCGCCAATATACCGTTATGCTGCATCACCAAGTCAGAGTCCTTATACTACCCCATGTCCCACGCCATCTCCAACATATGGACAAGGTTCATGTACAGCGTTAGCAAGTCAATCTCCTAATGTCACTCCATGTCCCACGCCATCTCCAACATACGGCCAAGGTTCATTTAGACAGTTCCATAATGATGGAAGTGGACAATTATCCTTTTCTCAGGACAACACAGCATCGACTTATTTTTCTCAATTTGATGCCAATTCATGAAAATGTACCCTTTCATAAAAATAAAAGCAGTTTGCCAAAAACAACTGTTTTTCGTTTCTCTTATTCTAAATTAAGAAGAAAATACGTACCGCCATATACTTCTTTAAAACTGCGTACAAGGCGTTGCACGTTTCTGGGATAATTTTACCAAGACATTGAGGTGATATTCTAGTCGAGAATTTGAGACACTCATACGACCGTCCTGTTGCCAGAAATCTCAAGGTAGCAGTTAATCGTTCGTGTGGAGATATTGCTGCCCTCATAACTGTATCTTTCTTCTTAATCAAAGGAGAAACCAGCAAAAGCAACTTTTGATACACTGCTTCTGTCATGCGCAAATAATTAAGGAAATCTAATGGTTCCCCTCTCAATTCTTTTAATAAGCTGATGTCCGAATATTGATTTCGTCTCTGTAACCACTTCTTGCACCACTGTTTACGCTTTTTACATTGTTTACTTTTTTGTAAAACTACACAAAGTATACCCAGAGCGGCCAAATCGTTCTGCTCTGTTCGATGCATTATTTAAAACTGATAGATTGACCTGTATGTGTGTGTGCAAACAGACTGAACAGTTTAACTGCACAGTTTTCACTGAACAGTTCAAACTGTCAGTTGAAACTGTACGTGAGTGGCCGACTTAATGCGAGTTTGTTATTTTTCAACACATCAAAAACATCCATTTTTTTTCCGTTTGTCAATATTTCTAGCTGTCCTGACCTTAAATTCTTATTAGCATGTACTCTCAGTAACAGCTGAACTTATCTTAAGTTTGAATTAAAATATGCTGTGAGGTTAAGACGCAATGCTACTACAGTGGCCAAATGTATATAATTGTAAGCAAAAAACAAAACAAAAACGCCTGGAGATATCTGCAATGAAATAAAATATTCTAATTTTCAAAATACAGCGAAAGGGGATCGTTAAGCTCGCAGAAAAAATCAAGGAGTCCTTGATTTTGTATTGGGGGTAGAGTTACATATTTGATATAGGGTGAATAGACAAGACCACCATACTGTGGGCTAAGTCATCTGCTATCCTAGACTATAAAAGAAGGTGAATATATGATCTAGCCAGGATTTCTAGCTCCACATATATTTTTGAAAGCTCTGTGGGAACATTTAGAATATCGCGCCAATAGCAGATGGGACTCTGGTTACAGCAGCCCTTCTCGCAAGTCGATCAGCTGAGATGTTACCTTTGGATTATGGGTGATCGTTCACCCAGGAAATTATATTGCTATTCACAAGAACAATATGGTAATCTAGTACCAATACCATCTTGAGTTTGTAGCACATGAGAATTTCTATTGCTTGCACGTTTAATACTTAAAGGTATGTTCGCAACTAGAGTGAGTTCTTGCCCGAAGTATATGATTTTCCAAAAAACAGCATACTCACTAAAAACCCCCCAGTCGTTCGCTATGCATTCCTCCATGGAACTGGTCTCATCATGGCTGGTAGCCGTTGCGCTAAATTCATATTACAGGTATTTGACTGCATCGTATTGACCCGTTAAGTTCCTATATTCATACACTTGTATGCATGTACCAGCGAATGTATCTACAACTCTCTAAACGAGTTTTTCTTCTTGTATCAGGTCTTGAAATGGCACAAGATAGCCCAATGAATAACCCTGTAAGAGTTTACACACTCTATAGAGAAATCTGCTCACTATACTGTATCTTAAAACGTCTGTACCTACATACGTCTACTGAAAACTTCGTTACGATTTCTATTTCACGATTCAGCCCTGCCGTCCAAAGCACTACTACAACTCCATACTCTTCCATTATATATACGGGAGTTACGTAACTGAGGAGCAAATTGCCTTCCGGCTAGTGTGCACCAGACCTCTCCAGAGGTCCCCCGATATCGATTGGGATTCCGAGCTGAGATGTCGAGCGATGTGCACGTCTGTGAGCGATGCTCTGATAATTTCATAGTAAACGCTAAATATGTGCTGTGCAAAAGTTGCAAAAAACGGTATCATAGTCAGTGTGTCTCAGTAAAAGATGATGTGCAAAAGTTATTGTTGAAGAACGGTAATTTGTGCTGGCTGTGTGATGTATGCAATTCAAATTTCAAGAGTGTGGCAGAAGATTCCAATGATAAACTGGACTTGTATGTGAAGGAAATAGACTGTTTAAAACGTGAGAAGCAGTTGCTGGAAAAATTATTAAATGAGTTCGAGTTTTCAAATAATCTCTTAAAATCCAAATATAATATCGGAGAGAAATCCTCTGACACAAAAACAGTGGGAACTCCCACCGTAAAAACGTCAGTGTTTTCGTACAGCAGTGCTCTGAAAAAAGAAAAAGAAGCAGCTGTTTTGCTAATTAAATCTAATGAAAACAAAGATGATATTGACGTTATTAAATCGATTAAGGACAGCATCAATCCAGCTGAAATAAAGGTATGTGTTAATGGTACACGGAAAACAAAGCAGGGTGCAGCCGTTTATTGCAGAAACAATGACGACCTGCAAAAATTGAAAATTGCGCTGAGGTCTAAATTAGGGGCGAAGTATCACATTAGTGAACCCGTAAAGTATAACCCTCGCATCCTTGTAAAAAACTTTGTGAGTGATGAAGAGCTGGACACGGATGCTAAACTAGTTGATAATATTGTTAAGCAGAATGGCATTGATGTAAATGATGCCAGCATGAAAGTTGTTACTATGCTGAAGATAAGTAGTGCCCATCATCTAATTTTGGAGCTTTCTCCACACGCCAGAAAGCAAATTATTGATAAAGGCTTCATATACGTTGGTTGGAGAAGATACAAGGTTGTTGATCATATCAACATAATTCAGTGCCATAAGTGTTGTGGTTTCGGTCACAGTGCAAAAAATTGTAGGGCTAATTCCGTGATTTGTCTAAAATGTTCAGGTAGTCATGTAGTGAAGGATTGTAAAGGTGATATGGAAAAATGTATAAATTGCCATAAACATAACGAAAAATTTCATACCAAGCATGGTACTACTCACAAAGCAAATGACAAAGAATGTCCAATGTATGCAACATATTTTCAAAATCTTAAAAGTAGAGTAAACTATGGCAGCTAGAGAATGTGTTTTGAAATTTGGCCACCTCAATGTACGATCTCTTATGTCGGACTTTGATGCAGCTGTCAACTTGGTAAATACTGATGACTTGGATATATTTGCAGTGACAGAGACGTGGCTCAACACTGACGTCACTGATAATTCTGTAAGTATCAATGGCTATGATCTCTTTCGTCGTGATAGGGAAGCGCGCGGAGGTGGTGTGGCAATTTACTTTAAGTCTGACTTGCGTGTTGAATTTTTAGACCTAGATGCGCAAGCAAGCAATTGTTTGGAATGCTTGTGGGTAAAGATGACCATCAATAGGCGAATAATTGTTATAGGGGTGATGTATAGGCCGCCAGGGCAAAATATCAATGAATGTGTCAGGTTGTTGGATGCCCTTTTACCTGGGGTTTCGGGTAAGTTTGATAATGTAGTTGTAATGGGTGATCTAAATGTTGATTTTTTGAAACAAAATAACATAATCTCTCCTTGTTTCAATTCAACTGGATTTGTCCAATTGGTTACCTCCCCAACCCGTGTAACGCAGCACGCAGCAACATTACTTGACCCTATATTTACCACCAACCCAGATATTTTTGGTGACTGTGTTGTACTTGATGCAGGTTCGGTATCTGATCATAAACTTGTCATGTGTCAGCTTAGGTTAAATAAATTCAAGAGAAAGCAAAATATTGTAACTTTCAGGGATTTTAAATGTTTTGATGATGCAGCATTCCTTAATGATCTCGCTAATTCCTCCGTCGATGATCTGTTTTTTATCCCAAACATTGACAGTAAAGTTGACCATTTAACTAATACCCTAGTCGAATTATTCAATAAACATGCTCCACTCAGATCTGTACGTGTTTCTAAGCCACCTGCGCCATGGCTGACTGATGAAATAAAAAAAGGTATGCACGCTAAAGTTACTGCGTTAGCAAGATATAAGCAAGATAAGACTGCAATTAATTATGAAAACTATCGTCGCATTAGGAATAAAGTCCTTATTGATATTCGAAAGGCAAAAAAAGAATATCTGGCAGTACTTTCTGAGCAAAATGAATCGAGGAAGATTTGGTCAGGCATAAATAAACTTAATATAAAGTCTTGTAACAAATATACTTTGCCTGATAACATCAGTGATGTTAATCTGATAAACAGGTATTTCATGTCAGTTTATAATGTTGATAGTGTGCCGGAAAATGTGTGCGAGTTTTATAGAAGCAATAAACTAAATCCATCTAATTCTTTTTCTTTGAGAATCTTAAGTCCTCAAGAGATCTTTGATATAGTAAAAGGTCTAAAATCAGACGCTAAAGGCCTTGATACGCTGTCAATTACAATGATCAAAGTTAGTTTACCAATAATATTTTATCATATTGTACACATAGTTAACACTTGCATTGAAAGAGGCTTGTTTCCCAAAGCCTGGAAGAATGCATTGATCTTACCAACGCCAAAAAACAATAAACCTACTGATGTTACTCATCTAAGACCCATAAGTTTGTTGCCTGTGTTGTCAAAAATACTGGAAAAAGCAGTTCAGTTTCAAGTAGAGCCTTTTATTGAATATAATGGCATCATTCCTTTAAATCAATCTGGATTTAGGAAATATCACAGCACAACCTCTGCATTATTAAATCTGTGCGACAACGTTATAAGAGCTATGGACAAAAAAATGGCAGTTTCCCTAGTTTCAATTGACTACTCCAAAGCATTCGACAAAATTAACCATGTGCTTTTACTTTCTAAGTTAAAGTACATTGGATTTGACAATATAGCTATCCAATTCTTCAAAAACTACCTCTCACACCGTATGCAGTGCGTTTCTGTAGGCAGCAGGCTATCAGAAGTCAGTATGATACCATCAGGAATCCCTCAGGGCTCCATACTAGGCCCTGCGTTATTTCTCATATACACTTTTGATTTGCACAAATCTGTCGCACATTC